CATATATTAGTGTCTATATGCAAATATGGGCATATATTAGTATTTGTACACAAGTATATGCATATATTAATATTCATATGCAAATATGGGCATATATTAGTATTTGTACACAAGTATGTGCATATATTAGTGTTTTTATGCAAACTTATGAATATATATTAGTATTCGTATGCAAATATGGGCATATATTAGTATCTGTATACAAGTATGTGCATATATTAGTATTCATATGCAAATATGGGCATATATTAGTATTTGTACACAAGTATATGTATATATTAGTGTTTGCATGCAAACTTATGCATATATTAGTATCCATATGCAAATATTGGCATATATTAGTATCTGTATACAAGTATGTGCATATATTAGTGGCCATATGCAAATATGGGCATATATTAGTATTTGTACACAAGTATATGCATATATTAGTATTCATATGCAAATATTGGCATATATTAGTATCTGTATACAAGTATGTGCATATATTAGTGGCCATATGCAAATATGGGCATATATTAGTATTTGTACACAAGTATATGCATATATTAGTATTCATATGCAAATATGGGCATATATTAGTATCTGTATGTAAACTTGTGCATATATTAGTGTCCATATGCAAATATGGGCATATATTAATATCTGTATGCAAATATGGGCATATATTAGTATCCAAATGCAAATATGGGCATATATTATTATTTGTATGCAAATATGGGCATATATTAAGGTTGTATGCAAATATGTACATATATCAATATTTGTATGCAAATTCATGCTTATATTAATATTTGTATGCAGATTCATGCATATCTTTGTGTTTGGTATCTATGCACTTACTTGGCAGTATCCTCATTGCAGCATATTTTCGACTGAATAGAAGTGAAAAGAATGCTATCACATCTTCAGTGAATATCTTTTTTTAGTCAGCTGAAAAGTATTGCTGTCACTAGTCACTCAAATAAGAATCTCAGCAATCACGATTTCTATTACCAAAGTATGTACAAATATTTGCTGTTTACCACTAGAAATATACACATGTAGTTCCAAATATCCCCTTATATGGGCATTCCTATTATGCACATGTAGTTCCAAATATCCCCTAATATGGGCATTCCTATTATGCACATGTAGTTCCAAATATCCCCTTATATGGGCATTCCTATTATGCACATGTAGTTCCAAATATCCCCTAATATGGGCATTCCTATTATGCACATGTAGTTCCAAATATCCCCTAATATGGGCATTCCTATTATGCACATGTAGTTCCAAATATCCCCTAATATGGGCATTCCTATTATACACATGTAGTTCCAAATATCCCCTTATATGGGCATTCCTATTATGCACATGTAGTTCCAAATATCCCCTAATATGGGCATTCCTATTATGCACATGTAGTTCCAAATATCCCCTAATATGGGCATTCCTATTATGCACATGTAGTTCCAAATATCCCCTAATATGGGCATTCCTATTATGCACATGTAGATCCAAATATCCCCTAATATGGGCATTCCTATTATGCACATGTAGTTTCATAATATTACCATATATGGACATTCTTATTATGCACATGTAGTTCTATATTATCATTTATGGGCATTCCTATTATGTACTTGTAGTCCCAAACATTACCATACATGGGCATTCCTATAATGCACATGTAGTTCCATAATATTACCATATATGGGCATTCCTATTGTGTACTTGTAGTCCCAAACATTACCATATATGGGCATTCATATAATGCACATGTAGTTCCATAATATTACCATATATGGGCATTCTTATTATGCACGTGTAGTTCTATAATACCATGTATGGGCATTCCTATTATGTACTTGTAGTCCCAAACATTACCATATATGGGCATTCCTATAA